ACACACACACACACACACACACACACACACACACACACGTGTATTTATATATATATGAAAATATGAAATATACTGCTTTTTCTTCTTTGTATATTATTTGCTTTACTTTTGCACCTTTGTGGTCTTGCTACCCAATTTCGCTGTGCAAAAAAGTGCACAATGACAATAAAAGGTCCAAGTCTAAGTATTACATAAGAGCAACTTGGATGGAGTCTAGAGGTATGTTACCTTTCTCTTTGTGTGCCACAGCCCCAAAATGGCCTCAGGAATGCAAGAGAAACAGTACACACCATCTTTACTCAGTTTTTTCATTTACAACCCCACGTTTGGACCTCGAGAAGGAGAGGTGAGTGAGACTCCCTGATAAAGAGTTCTTATGCAAACCTTTTTAGCCTTTAGATGAAAAAAGCATACCTAATGCAAATATTTTTGTTTTAGGAAGAGAAAAAGATTCTGTTTTACCACCCCAGTGATGTTGAGAAGAACGAGAAGATCCGAAATGTCGGCCTTTGTGAGGCCATTGTGCAATTCACCAGGTATCAGTATTATGGTGTATATATTACTGCAGCAGCATCATGGCTGTATTTGCAGTCTATTTATTTGTACTTTGAGCATAAATTTAAGTGTTTGTAGCTGTGATGAAGCAAAAGGAAGCCTGAAGCACAATAGAAAAGGGAAATGTTGCAATAAGTGGTCAGATGCACACTGATAAATATCTAGTGTAAATACAGACAGAAATTTAAGAGCCGTGCGTGTTGTTTGGGTGTGTCGCCCTTCTTCACTGTCACATCCCCTTTGTTCCAGGACGTTCTGTCCAACAAAACCAGCTAAATCCCTGCACACACAGAAGAACCGGCAGTTTTTCTTTGAGCCCGAGGAAAATTTCTGGATGGTCATGGTATCTTGCAAGCTTATGTGTACATCACCTTCCCAGTATTTAGTCTTTGTCCAGAGTTTGTCTCCTTCATTTTAAATATCATTCTGCTCTTAACTCTTTAATGCTCCTTTGTGCTGTTTTATTAAAAAAAAATCCATCCTCAGGTGGTTCGAAATCCAATGATTGAGAAACCAAACAAAGATGGCAAACCACCTACAGTAGAATATCAGGAAGAGGAAATGCTTGTGAGTACTGAAAAGTATTCGTGTATGTCTTCATTGTTTATCTCTGAGTATTGCCAGTTGTACTTAGCTTCCCTCTTGCCTTTTGTAGGATACTGTTTATGGTGCAGTGGTAAGGCAGTGCTACAGCATGTATAAGGTGAGTTTGAGTGCGGTTTTAGAATTTGCCATACTTTTTAACATTTACAACACAAAAATCACTTAAACCACCAGTGTGATAAGTTGTTATTTAGCAACACAGACCCAAACCATGACACAGCCACCATCATGTTTTACAGATGAGGAAAAGGTTTTTATACTGGAATGCACTTTTTTTTAATGCATTCCATTTTAAGTCTCTTCTTTTTCTCTTCTTCAGAACAAAATGTTTATCATTCACATCAAAACGTCCTTTTTGAAATTATTTAGTCATTAAACATTCTCGCTTGTCAGCATGACTTTGAACAGAGTGCAGATGAGCTGTGGTGATGTTTTGACACAAACATCGTTGCTGTTCATTGTTCTTCTGCCGATGAGCTACTTAGCAAATTTGAAAGCGTCCTAGAGTGTGTGCTAGCTTACCATCTTCATAATGGTGATTCGTAAATAGTAAAATAGTTGTTATATATCACTGATCTATTCTTATCTTTCTCAAAGCGCTTTATACAACGTGGCTCATTCACACACATTCATACTCTGAGCAACGCATTGTGGAGCACGACTTGGGGTTCGGTATCTATCTGTAGTCAAATGACTACTCTATTAAATCTTAAAATAATTTAAATAAATATGTAATTAATGTTAAATTACTAATGCTAGAGGTTCACAAACATTTCCCCTCACAAATACACATTTCACGGCTCTTGAAATGACATGAAATAGTACAATATATATTTGTTTGACTTGTTAAGAAATATAGAAAATGTCAAAGGGTTCCTGCTGCTGTGTGTAGTGATACATTTATCTGCTGGATGAAGAAATCTTTGACTTAAAGTTTAATAAAGTAATTAAAATAAATGTCATTGCTTTTATCACATTTGTGTTAAAATAGTATTTTACTGCATTGGAGGCTTATTCTAATAAAAAGACCATATTCGCTCAAAGCCATGTAATGACACCCTAGAGTAGTGTTTCTCAACTCTGCACCCCCAGAGGTACTCTGAAGTGTTGCAGGGGATTTTTTTTTTGTTTATTTATTAGATGTTCTTAATTCCCGAAATTATTCCTGAAATAAATAGTATTTTAAGTTCCTATTATTACTATTTTAAGGTTAATCTATAAGAGAAAAATGACAGACAAAATGTAAAAGTTGCAATCAGCTGAAAACACAGGAAGAAATTAAAAAGAAGGTAACATGGAGTCAGTACAATACTGTTGTTTCATTTAAATTTAGTGCTGGTCTTTTCCGGTTGTAACACTTCTCATGAAGTCAGGTCTGTGCATTATGTTGAGGGAATCTTGCTTGAAATACGTAATGAAAGGATTACATTACTTGGGGAATGTTGAATCATTGCTCTTGAGTGTCACACATTACCAATTTATACCTGTATGATGCCAAAATAAGTCATGTTTTAACAATGCTCATTTTCCTCATGCTGTAGCTCTTCAATGGCACCTTTTCCAGAGCAATGCAAGCTGGCGGCGTGGAGCTGCTCATGCAGAAACTTGAGAAATTCTTCTACAGGGTAATAAATACTCACAAGCCATAACATTTTTGTTGCTAGGCGGATATGTTTTGAGTTCAGATCATGCATGCATGTATATTGACCTTGCTTTGACAGGATGATTCCCTTAGAATGCCGGCATGTGTGTTTTTAACAGAACTCATTCGAGCCTGACTGTCCTTGTTATCACAAGGGTTTCCCTCACTGATGACAGTTGTCATAGGGACACTGTTTATTTGTGAATGCTCCCGTTACTCTTGGAAAGCTGTAAGATGTTTGCAGTCGTGGTTGACGTCTTGATCGTTGTCTTGCCCCCATTATTTGTCTTCACGTCACACTTCTGTCAACTAGCCGGAACATTGCTTTTAAGGAGCTGCTTTAAAAATTAATTTCTAATTAGGGAATACCCTTCATCCATTAACACGGGCTTCCCTGTCCACCATGAAATCTAAATACGGGGAGAAAGAGAGAGGCTGTGGTGTGCTTGTCAGAGGTTGAATGTCAATGCGGTACAAGTCAAAGAGTTTCTTATATCCTCTTTTCTGTATTGAACTGTAAGCAAGCACTTGTGGGCAGGTAAACTAAACCCTTTCTTTTTTGCGTCTCCTGTGTCTGTGTGTGTCCGTGTGTTATCACGCTGGGGTTTCCAGTATCTGCAGACTCTCCACTTGCAGTCCTGCGACCTGCTCGATGTATTCGGAGGCATCAGCTTCTTCCCATTGGACAAGATGACCTACCTGAAGATCCAGTCTTTTGTCAACAGAGTGGAGGAGAGCCTCAGTCTGATCAAATACACAGCCTTCCTGTATAATGACCAACTTATCTGGTATACAACACTTGTTGATGCTGTGCTTTAAACTGTATGTTTGTCCATCAAACCCACCGTCTGTCAAATTTGACTGAGCCATCCGGTGTATTAAGGTAAAATCCCAGTGCTGGCATCAGCACACGAATAATGGCATGCTGGGTAAACAGTGGTGGTTCTAAACACAGCAGTTAATCCTCTTTGTGGTTTATGCGCTCCCTGACATGTCACTTGTTTTTAATTGTGCTGTCGGCCACCGGCTCTGTGTGTAAGCACAGGGGGAATTACATGATGGCTAATGAAATTACTTGAGAGCAGCATAATCGTTCACTGTGAACTGAAGATGGACAAACAGGAAGGAATATTTAATTACTGTGCAAATTAAGCAGCTGCATCTGCTGCACAGAACTCATTGAATCCCATTTATAGCCACTGCTGAACAGCAAATAGTAAGGCATTTTGTCTTATTATCTATCCAGTGATCCATAACACATTTGACAGCACACCTGATAAAAATTAATCCATGCATTTAGTTTAGTTTTGTTTTCATTAGTGCAATGTGACGTTTACAAGGTGTCATTTTTGGCATCGTGGTCGTGTTTACAGGAGCGGGCTGGAACAAGATGACATGAGGATCCTGTACAAATATCTGACCACCTCGCTTTTCCCCAGACACTCAGAACCAGAGGTAGGTGGAGTGAAAAAAGTGGACTTCTGCAGAACTCCAGCCCACTAGATTATTTTAAGGGCAAATCGAGGAATGGTCAAAGGAGGTGTCATGACTGTAGAGAAGAGGACCACTGCTTCACGATATTGCATAGTGTACATCATATGACAACATGGCTAACTTGTCTTGATAAATCTGTACAGCTAATGCTAAGCTTTTTATATAATTTGTAAAACAGGTCTGTGTCCATGGTTTTGTTAGTTTCCATAGAAGGATCCACTGTCATTAAAACATACAAAGTTACTGTAGCATTTAGAGCAGTTTGGCTCACTGGGATCATTTGCACAAAAGTTGACCCCATTATCTGAAACTTTGGCTGTGTTTAATATAAATATCTGACACTTTAGTAATATAATGATTATTTTCTGACAGAAAATATGACTTAAAATAAGGAAAGCATAATGGATCTACTTAAATAATTGGCTAAACAATCCATAATTTTACTCTCTTGTATTTGCTTGTTTCAGTTGGCTGGCAGGGACTCCCCGATGAGACCAGAAGTTGCTGGAAATTTGTTGCACTATGGGAGGTAAGTCTATGATCCCTGCGCCCATCTCTTTTAATCCAACCCCCTGCAGTGGTGCGGTTACTAGAGTAATGTCATTCGTGGGCCAAGGCATCCCAGATACGTCAAAAGGCATGTTCTGGATGCACATATGAATGATAAGATACAGATGCATGTGTGTGTGACACCATGTGTGATTTCGACCCACTGACAAGCAAATTAGATAACGAGGTAACTCCCTTGGCTAACACACCGTACTGTTAGCCAAGGGGTGGAGTATCACTCCAGCCTCGAGAGGTTTCAACTTTCTATTTTGTTTCCGTGTCCATGTGTAACAGGAGAAAGTTTGCTCAGGTGTTGCCTCCCTGCCAAAGCTTATGTCTGCATGCTGCTTAAATAACTTGTGTCTCACGATGATGTAAAGTTGCTACAGTGGTCCGAGTGTGACTCTTGCTGAAATTACACGGGACAGACGACACAGCATTTCTTGAAAAATGCTGAGAAATGTTTTTTAAATCAAGACAAGGTGTTGCAATAATGGAAGTTGCATAGGATTGCAGAGTCTGTTGGACAACACTACACAATAGACGTGCATTTAATTGGAAACATTAAATTGTTACACATAATTTTCAATTCAATTCAATAAAACTTTATTGATCCTGAAGGTTGACCCCGAAGGAAATTGGGTTAAGGCTGCCGACCTTTGCCAGCGCCGACTTACCCTTCTGACCATACATACATTACACAAACATGACATGGGGAAGACAGGTCAGAGAGGTATAACAATGGAAAATGCACCACATGAGGAAAGATAAGGAGAAAAAAAAAAACTCCCCCCAGACTGAGCTCCAACAGGGAGATCAGTTTGAGAACAGAAAAAAACACCTCTGCACATAGCACATGAAAAAAACTCTAAATACGCCAAAGAAACACATGACAAGCAACAGGGGTGGGTAAAGGGTGAGAGACAGCCGATTTAGACAGTGCATCCAGGCCTGCGTGCGCTGGTCTCCTTGATCCACCGTCAGCATCGGAAGGGAATAAGCGTCGAAGGCGTTTGGAAAGGGAGGGGGGATGAGTGTGTGCATATCAGTGTATATGTATGTGTGTGCGTGTCCAGAGTTCAGCTGAGACAGTGTCCTTCGCCCTGCTAGGCTAAGTAAACAGTCTTCCAGCCAACCCAGGTGGCCTTGCATGGAATGGGAAGGAACAGACTAAACACAGTCGTTATCAGGGTGTTTTTTGTTCGGCTCCAGCCTTGCAACCGCAGCTGGCGCCGAGAGGGTATCCGCATGAAGTGATGGTGCTTTTTACTTTAGTGCGAACAACTCATATGAATTTCAAAGCTGTTCTAACAGTCCAACACTGGTCTCTCAATCTCCCGTTGGAGAGCCGTGAGCTTTCTATGATGTTATCCAAACTTACGTTCCGTGATGTTGTCGTTTTTTTTGCTCAAAGAGCAGGTTCTGAGAACTCACGACCGCAGTTTAAGTGGTTTCTCTAAATTCCTGTGTAAATATATAACAGTGAATTTGTTGTTCTGTTGTGAACAAAAGAGGCATAAACGGTTTTTGCTCCTGAGAACATTAAGCTCATATTTGTGTGGTAAATTCCTGATTAGATTTGGTGCCATCCATTATTGGCTTTAGGCTAATATGCTACTTTACTACAACTGTTGATTATTACGGAGAAACGTGCACTGTGATGATTCATAACACATCAGTCAAAACAAATAAATACTTCGTCTTCCGGAGATTACAAATACATCTACGCAATTTCAGGGCCATCCATCCAACAGATGTTGAGATAGTAGATAGATTCATAGAAATCTAATGTGATTAGAAATAATACCTTAACTGCTTCTCAGAGGATGAGCTTTTCCTGTTTTGGAAACCTCATGTGCTCCCAGCATCACGCATATCTTAATATTTTCATTCCCATCATTCTTCAGGTTCATTTCTTAACTCTTTCCCCCATAAAGATGACATTTGATGACCTCCCCTGTACCCTTAATGACGAGTTTATATCAGTATATTTTAATAAAGATGTGGTTTGATAACCATTAAAATAGTTTCCAGGTTTTTCTAAGGGAAGCTGCATTGGCAGAGACCACCCTCTCACATCCAGTCATGTTGTTCTATAAACAGGCCTGAAATATGATAGAAACCGTTCAGCTCAGGGTTACTCCTGGTTTCAAGGGGTAAAGAGTCAGTAGCATCGTGTGCTTTTGTTTTTTGGTGTGTTTTGGGCACCAATTGAGCTTTCTGATTTTCAGTCATTTGGTTTTGAGTAATTAGATCATCTGTTTTGATTTTGATACCTGGTCTGTGAATATGAACCCAGGCACACTGCGTCTGTCTTTTTCAGGTTTTTGACAGGACCTACAAATCTGAAAGATCCGGAGGCCAAATTCCGATTTCCAAGAATATTCGTCTCTGCAGAGGACGGCTACGAGGAGCTGCATCTGATTGTTTACAAGGTACAGTAGGTTAAATGCAACACTCTGGCATGACAGGCTTGTTTCATTTCTCTTGATTTATTTAGTTTTGATTCTTTTTTTTTTTCTAATGCATTAAAAATGAGTGGGCAGTTGTTATTCATTTTTAGGAGGATTCTTGTAATCTGTGACTGGGGGGGATTTAACCTTTTTTTTCTGTTTATGAACAGTAGATTTGGGATAAAATATATTCCACTGCTCTGTCAAACGATGTGGACTTCAGGGATTAGTGCGCTGAATTTTAAAATGATGAAGTATATCCCGCACATTAGTGTGATTCCTGGCCTGTGTGACCTTGATTTTAACTTGCAGTGATCTGCTTTTTTCCAGGCAATGAGCGCAGCAGCTTGTTTTATGATCAGTGGTAAGTGTGTGTGCCCTCCCGGTTTAATGATGAAAGTTCACTTTCATTTTGCTTTTTTCATTTCGGCATTTTGATGTTTTTGCTGCTCTTATAAAACGTAATTATTACATTTTCCTCACCTTATGTCCAGTAACAGCTGACAGTTCACTCGTCTGTTTCCTAATAGCCTCTGTGGAGCTGACGAGGGAGTTCTGTGAGCAGTTGGACAGCTTGGTGGGCCCTCAGCTTACTTTGCTGGCTTCTGATATTTGTGAACAGTTCACAATCAACCGCAGGATATCAGGGTTTGTTGCAATTTCTCCTCTTTCCTAGCTTTTAGCTTGGCATGTTCCTGATCTAATCTCTATGTGGTGCTGCTACGCTTACCTCAGCTTCATTTTACAGAGAATACAGGGCATAATGATGCACCTCTGGGCAAATTACAAATATTGTTGATATAAAAAGTGATACGGACAAAATGCCATACCTACAGCAGATATTTATTCATTTTATTTTACTATACATTTTATTTACTTTATTATACATAAAGATTGCAACACAAAACCAGGGTTTAGAAACTAGACATACATCTTATTGTTTGTAGCTCAAGAGTTTAATATTATATGTTTACGACATTGAAGGACTATTTGTGTGCTTACAGTATTGTGCAAAAATCTTGAGCCACCCCTTATTTATTTATTATATTTTGCTTCCAAGCAGCCAGACTTTCTTGTAATATTATAACATATAAAACTGCATCTTTAGATACTTTGTTACTAGCAGCCTGCCACAAAAACACATCAACGTTTTCCCAATTCCTTAGTTAAATCTTCAAAAATGGCAAAGAGAACACAGTTTGACATGCATGAAATTGTATTTTTGCACCAAGTAGTTTGATTTTGTGCAGTGTTATGAAGAAATGTGGAGAAACTTTACAAGTGGATGTCAAGAAGTCATTTTTAAAGAACTGGAGTGAAAATCAGTGGCGACTAACTAGAGTGATGAATCCACATTTGAAATGTTTGGTTCAACTTTTCATCAGTATGTACTGAGGAGTCAGGTGAACAGTATAACCCTGAGTGTCTGCTTGGTGGAGGCTTTATCATGGTTTGGGCTTCATTGCAGCCAGTTGGGATCTTGCCAAAATTGATGGAATCCAGAAAAGTACCAGCAGGTTTGGTCCACCATAAAATACCATCTAGAAAGTATTTGATTGGCTCCAGTGTCATTTTTCAGCATGATAGTGATCCCAGACCCAAGGCCAAAGCATACCTGGGTAGAAAAACACGAGACTTTTGCACATTACTGTATTCAAAATAAATCAAATAGTTTTTTTCTACTTGTGCCTTTGTACAGTATCAGGAAGACTGGGAGGATATTTAAAGGCAATCTGAACTCCAAAATTAGAAAATGAGGCTAGAAAAGAGCGGTCTCAGGTCTCTTTTCAGAATAACGTACCTTAATGTCATTTGTGCGTCCAGTCAGTCTGCTATAACTAGAAAGCTGATTGATTTGTGTGCTTGGTGATTACACTTCCCACTTTGCTTGTCATTGGCCTGTAGCATTAGCTCTGCCTGGCTGGCAGTGATAGATGAGACTCTTAATATCACTGGGTAGCATCATGTCACTACTTAGGGGTAACTCAAGCAGTACAGCTTTAAGGACTGGCATCCTGGTCAACGCTCCTTTAATCCCAGCAGTTAGCTTCAGACACGGCCCGGCAGGTAATCCAAACCTGACCGAGGCAGTTTGATGGGCTCCTTTTTAATCACCCTAGTGAAGAATCCACTCAATAAATAATGCCACTGCAAATTTATCAGCTAGCTTTCAGGTCTGTGTCCTGGTTTGGCCTCGTCCAATGGTAAATAATTACACACATCATGTATAAAAATCACCTATTTGAATACATTCACACACATGTCCATAGATGCAGTTTAGGCACTTTTGTTAAGTAAACTCCAGCTCATTAACTTGGCACAGCGTGGGTAACCAATGAAGCAGGGATAAGTAAAATGATACCTTGGTTTAAGGCTTCATTTGGTAACAGTATGATTTTAGAGACTGGCCCAGCCTCTTTAACTTTGTTTGTCTCTTACTCTAACCGATCTTACTGGATATCAAGGTAACACACATTTCATGCAGATTTTGAAAAGCTGTGCTGGCACCTTAAAGTCATAAATCCCAGGTTCTCTAAACTATCAGGTATAAAGGATAATTTGTAATACTAACATTTTATCGGCACTTTTTATAAGTTGCTTAACTTTTGCTTACTTTTGTTACTTTCAGGCCAGAAAAGGAGCCCCAGTTTAAGTTCATTTACTTCAACCACATGAACCTGGCAGAGAAGAGCACTATCCACATGAGGAAGACCGCCAGTGTTTGCCTCACCTCTGTCCATCCTGACCTCATGAAGATCCTGGGAGATATCAATTGTGACTTTGCCAGGTAAAATCAGAGGACACTTTAGTGAAACTTAAGCTATATTTACTAAGTGCCATCAGGCATTTCTTCGAGAGTTCTCTAATGACAGTTCACAGATAAGATAGGTGGTACTGCTGGTGTTCCTAATGGTGACCAGAGAGGATAAAGAATTGATTAGTTTTGGTTTATATAAAAATAAATAATAATAATAAGAGTGATCACAGCAGCATTAGACCATCTTTAGTTGTGTATTTTAGAATCAAACAAAGAAGATGTGTACAAGTACAAACTCATTTTCCCAGCGTTTCAGCACAGCCGTGTAATTTTCAGTTTTATTACGACACTCCTGGGATCTTTGCATATCCACATTCTTTCCGTCTTCGAAGCAACTTATTACACTGCAATCCTGCAGTGTAATAAGTTGGGGGGTTTTGAGTAGGTTAAAATGTTCTCTGGTACATTACATGATCTCTCAAGCAACAAAGAGCCTACTGTGAATGTGGTGAACACCTTCGTTTGAAACATGTAGTTCTTTCTGTCTTTCAGGGTTGACGAAGATGAGGAAATCATCGTAAAAGCTATGACAGACTACTGGGTAGTCGGCAAAAAGTCAGACCAGAGAGAACTGTACGTGATCCTGAATCAGAAGAACGCCAATCTGATCGAAGTAAACGGTACGTCTCCCCTATTTGGCATAAAGCAAATGTATGTCATTCTTACCAAAAGTAAACCATCTGTCCCAGTAATCTCCTCTTCTCCTTAAGTTGACCCTTGTCTTTTTTTTCCCCTTTTTCTTTTTTTCTTTTTTTTTACTACAGAGGAAGTTAAGCGGCTTTGTGCGACGCAGTTCAACAACATATTTTTCTTGGATTAATGGTGAAGACACTAAAAACTGTTGCAGGGTATCTTGACAGCATCAGCGTAATGCAATAATTGCATCGTGAAATTAACAATAACAATGAAAAGATTCCTCACATCGATTTGTTTTTTTTATTTAACCTTGAAAAATTGTAATTTTTCTTCTGTAATTAAGTGTAAAAAAAAAAGAGAAAAAAATCCAGGTTTTGACTGTGTGTGTAATTTGCTTTCTTTCATTTTCTTTGTACATACTTGAGATTTGAAACAATTTTCTTTCGCATTAAAATGTGTTCATACACTTTTATAATGAACATATGACACTTTTTCAAATATATTTAAAAACTGACATGCTCATACTCCGGCTTTATTTGATGATTCCGTGATTGTTTTCCGATGCCATGTCAAAAGATTTGTGGTTTGTAAACAACTGCCCTAACTTCAAATAAATTAAGAACCAATTTTCTGCAGTGTACTGAATATTTTAAGTCTCTTTGGCTTTAGACACAAAAGCGAGTAAAGGTTTTGGAAACTCCACAACATCATTCTGATCATGAGTCACTGAAGTCAGGAAAACTCATTAAAATGTAAAGAATAATAAGGTGTGGGTCACCTCTTTGATAACTGTTCAGTGCAAATTAATTGAAGGTAAGTGAGTAGATGGTAGCATTACTTAGGTTTTTGTGGCCTGTTTTCTTTGTTTTGCTTTGTTGTTTTGTTTTTTTTACATTTTAGAACAAAGACATCTGTTAAAAATAATTAATTCCAGTTACTTTAAAAATAAAAAGGATGAGGATGGGCTAGAATAACACAAATATTAACTTGTGATGAACTCCTGGAGCACTTGAAACATGCCAGAGATCATAGAAATCTACTGTTCCGTGGTTCTTGGTAAATAACTGAGAGAGCACTGAATTCTTGGCACCTATGACATATTAAGCTTGTAATATCTTTTCTTTTTTGGTGCTTTTACAGGAAATGTAGTTAGCAAAATCTTACAAAAAATCTCATGAATTACGCTTGAACAGCTTTTTCTTTTGGTTTTGTCTGAACTACATCCTAACTTGTACTTTGTCCTTTGTCCTGCAGGGGAAAAGGACAGAAAATGCGATGACATCTTATCTCTTAAAAACACAGTTGCGAGTTTTGTTGACAGAGAGGTTAGAAATGTAATATTTAGTCAGGTTTTTTTAATGACCTTTAAAATACAAGTGTTGTTACTATTTTAGGACTTAAATCCACCATAAAACAAAAATGATCATGACTCAAAAATGTATTTGTGTTGATGTTACTTCATTTGGTTGTTGAACTACACTACACAGAGTTTCATGTGGAGAGAAAAAAAGGTGTGTACATTTATATATGCTGTTGGAAATTTTCTCACCTGTTTATGCTCTCCTTGTTTGAGTTATGACTTTGTCGCTGGTCTCAGAGTCAATTCTGGTCTAACAGGCAAGTTACACAAGAGTGATGTGGACACTGAAGTCTGCATAAGGTACACAAAGGAGTAAATGGAGTGTGTATAGCACTTGGTGCAGTGGCCCCCTGCCCCCAAGCTAGGCAACTGGCTCCAGCAGATCCTAGGAACAACATCAAGATCTCTGTCCAGAAGAGTGCAGTCCTAGAAACAGCTACTGCGCAGGACCCTGAAGCTCCCAGGTCCCAAGCTTGAAGGATAAAAATCACCTGCAGGGGGAAGAGGAGGGGAAAAAAACAGAGATATTATAATTTATTTGGCTTCAAAATATCACTTTTTAAATCTTCTGTCTAATTGAGAAATGTATTAAACTTATTTATGATGAACACTTTTATTTGCATCACATTGTACAATCATTTCATTCGTTTTCTGTGGATGCATGTGTATTTTTATTTTAGGTTGCTTTGCAAAGTAACAAATAATGATTTACAGTTCATTTCATTCCACATGGATTTAACCCACATAGCTGATTGCTGATTATAAATAATTCCCGTGTTCAACTATATCAGCTAAACAACTTAATATTAATACTAATTGTTACCCTTCCTACTGTAAATGCCTGATTTTATCAGACACATGCATATTGTGTAATTATACAGGGTTTGACCTTTAAAAAAAAAAAAGAATTTATTCCAAGCAAACGTTTTTATACAATTTTTTTCTCCACTTTTCTGGACTAATTTCAGCACACAATGGAAAGTTGTTACAACAGCAACAAAATAATCAGAAGAAGAAGAAGAAAAGAAACTAACCAATCAGGGCTCACGTACGACTTGCAGCCAATCAGCGTAAACTTGGACAAATTTTAAAAACTCACCCGCCATGATTGTTATGTTTCTGCACTGAGCGTGTACGTTGCGCTGTCAGGTTTTAGTAAGTAGACAAAAAAGAAAAGAAAAATATTGTACCTCTTTGGAAAAAGAAAAAAGGTAAGTTGGGTTTTTAATCATAAAAGTTGTTCACTTAGATATATTTGTTAACGGAACGTTGAACTCTGCGCGAGTCCTTCTGTCAACAGTCGCGGTGGAGTGGGTTACAAAACTAGCATTGGTTGAATAATTAGCTCGTGTTCCTGGTTCGCCTTTGAAAGTATCTATTTCTACTCACTACACTTTTTAGTAGCAGTAGAACAAAACATTGTGCTGGCTCACGTTTATTTTCTCCAATTTTTGCCTTATTATATTTTGCTTTTACTCAGGTATGTAGTTGGTGTAAGGTTCACGTCTCCTTCAAATCATACTTTAATCCAGTAACACTGACGTTGACATTTGTTTGCAGAGAAACCACCAAGGAAAAAAATGAAGCCATCGCGACGCCATTCCTGTCGTTGTTTTAACGCAATTGTTTGAATTTCCGGAGAATAAGAAAAGCGGGAGGGGAAAAAACACAGCGTCAATATTTTTGATCTGTTGGTTGTTGCGTCTGCAAGCTTGTAGCTAAACAGGCCAAAATGAAGCAGTTTTTGCCGTGTTACCATTTATAGTGCCTAGCCTATACCACATACTAAGAAGTGTTTTGTTTTTTGTTTTTGTTTTTCCCCTGACAGCTCTTGCTCAGTACATTGTCCATGTTTTGGGAATTATTTTTGTGTGGTTTTAAAATTGCCACCACATGAATAATGACACTAATACGTTTAAAAACTTTGTCTAATTTCTATTCTTATAGCTGATTACAACACAAAAAACGAAAAAATTTTGCCATTCAGTTTTTGATCCCTCTCGTTTTTATCTAATATGACAAATGTCTCCTAATGTCTGTAATATCCATTGCATGCAATCTGCAGTACCTTTCAAAACATTATGTTTCCCTTCTTGAAAAATCCAGATACCTGATTATGGAGTCACGATTTGCTCACCTGCGGCAGCGGGACACCAGTGTGTCGATGCTTAGGGTAAAAATGTCTCGGAGAAGGTCTCATTCCCAGAAGGAGAATCGAGAACGTACTGTGAACACCCGGAGGCAGCTGGATAAACTCCCAGAGCTGGAAATGTCCTCCCTGAATGCCTCTATTGCAGTGGCCAATATGTCAACCATACAAGAGAAGATGAAAAACAATGAAAAACCTGCTAAAGGTATGGCTTCACAGTTTAAAAAAAAAAAATGGACTGCTCTAGCTCTAGCTGATTTGTGCCCTTTCCCATGCTTGTTACTCCACAGCAAAAGCAGTGGAAGATAGGCTGAAACAGCTCGAGCGCTGGAAGGAGCGGAAGGCTCTTGAGAAGGAGAAAGAGAAGAGGGAAAGGGAACGTAAAGGGGTGTTTAAGATTGGTCTGTATCATCCAACGGGAACCATTACCTCACTACCTGCTGTCCCAGATGCCTCAGCAAAAATCCAAGAGGTAAGAGGGGACTTATCAAAAAACACTTTAGGTAACTTATTATAAAACAAGTCTGTGAATCACATTACTTCCCTATCTTTTTGTTGGTTCTGTGATGACCACATGATATCAGAGGATATTCTTTTTGGTCTCAGTGGAATTTATTTATTTATTTTTGGTTATGTTTTCAGAAAAAGGCAAACACGGCTCCATCCCAAAGTATTAGAGTCACTCGTTCAATGAAACAGCAGCAGCAAGTGGAGAAGGTACTGTTTTCTTCCACGCATGCACCATTGTTTTCACAAGTTTCGTATTTAAAACAAAAAAACGAATACTTTGTTCATTTGTTTTTCTATTGCCTCAATTTCTGCAGCCTCTGAAGATACAAGATCCAAATACTGGAGTGAAGAAGGGTAAATTAACTGAATGCCCCTTAACTGAATTTTTATTCTTTTAAATGCAGCTTTTGATTAGAAGCAGTTTTAGTAATGACCTTCTTCTCTTTCTGTAGGACAACCTGCTGTGGAAAGATCAACAAGGACCCGGCTAGCTTCTGCCAAGCCTGCATCAACTACGACCAAGACCAAAGGTACAAATAATTTTTAAAAAACTGCCCTTGAAACCAGCCATTGAGCTTTGTTTGTTTTGCAGCACTGCAATCCTGTGTTTAGCTCTTAATTTGTGTCTGTATTATCCCATTCTACCATAGAAGCACCTGCCGTACGAGCTTTGTCAACCAGATCTGCCAACAGACCTCCAGTTCCTGTGGTAAAAGGCAAACCTAAGGACAAGACTGCAGGTATTGTCTGGTTTGGAAGCTCATTTCATATCGAAACTGGGAAGGGAAGTTAAGAAATGGCGTTGAGGGATTAAAACAAATGGATATTTGTTTTGTGTTTAATGTCTCTCACCAGTGTCCGATGCAAGAACCACAAGGAGCCGAGCAAATCTTAATCCTGTGGCTCCCCTGTCTGGTGCACAAAGGAACTGTAAAGGTATCATGAACCATAAAACCAAAACAAAATTTGTTCCAAATGTGTCTGCCTCACTTTACATTGTGAACAGTTGTTGGAATTTCTCTCACCATTTTTGTTGTCCTTCTTTATGAAACACAGAAGCAGTCAATGACACTATCCATCATGCTGTCTCAGAGGTGAGCAGTTCAGTGAAACGCACGACAAACTAAACTTGTGAAACTTTTAAGTAACTTGGAGTTTAATTGCTTTGCTGCTCCTGTCGTGTGCAGGAACCTGAGCTGACAGTGCCTGAGATGCAGGACATCGAGAAAAGACCTAGTCCTCCCAGCCCGACACCATGTGCTGAGGAAGAAGACATGGTGGTGGATCAA